CGGGGAACTCTGCAAAAAACGCATCTTCGCACGGGCAGCCCGTGCGTTGGCCAATTTTTTTTTTCGATGAATGGCTATTCAGTAAAAAAAAGCGGCTTCATGCATATCATTGGCAACGCACACCAGGCGTGCTCACGCGATCATGTGTTTCTGTAGTAAGATCGCTTAGAATTCCAGTGGCTACAATTTGCGATAATAAGTGTTTAGGCTGGACTGCCTTGTTGTGTTTCCTAGTGAATTCTTACAAAAAAAAGTTCATGCGTCGACCAGCATCCAATTCTTCCCGCTCTTATTCGCGTTTGATTATATCTCCGTAACTAAATATTTTCATCTTAGTAACAACTTTAACTTTCCACGGTCACTTCTGATAAATTTGTTTTTCTTAAAGCGGCAAGGGTTTGTACATAATTATAATTAGGCTATTTAAAAATATGTTAGGCGTAAGGAAATGAGTTACGCGGACTTACTTTCAGCGCCAACGAGTGGTGGTCTTCCACTATCCCAACCACTGGCAAGCCATCCTGGTCCTGGACAACTGCAAAGTTACCAGAGTGCAGCAGCAGCTATGCCGCCACATATGCAACACATGCAAATTGGACAACCGCAGAATGTATTGGCATCGAATCAGCAACAACAACAACAACAGATGGTGCAAATGCAACAGCAGCAGCTCCAACCACACCAATTCCAGTCTCATGGAAAAGGTATTATTTTCCAGAAACCCGTCGTAGGAACGAAGCGAAAGCTCGTAAACCGGGAAGACCAGGAAACGATCCAGAATGTAGGAAACGATCCAGAAAGTATGGTCAAATAGTCGGGTTAGGGCACCAGCTAACCGCTGAGCACCACCACCGTTTCTTTCTTTTTTTACATTTTCCCAGTCATATTTTTCTCCTTTTTTGCATTGTTTTTTTTTTTTTCTACAGTTAAGCTTACGGGCATGAAAAACAATTCAGTTAACGAAGTCCATTTTTGGTAATGTAAGAAATGTATATGAATAAGCGCCACATTCATGCTGAGATTTCAAGATTGAACTTTATCAATGAGTACGATCCCTTTAGTCATTTTGTTAGTAATAGAAAGTTATAATAGGAAGGAATGAAATAAAGTGAAAAAAAAAAAGGAAAAAGAAGGTAAGGAATGAAAAACAGGAAATCTGTGGAATTATTGTAATGGTCAAAAATGTTTCAGTCCATTAAGTCGTATACATTTCTCACCATTACCACACTTGAACCTCGTAAATTAAACAGTAGCATGTGGCGACCATCATTAGCTTGCTTCTAAGCAAATCTTAAAACAGACAGCCACCGATATTCTGCTCAACGGGTAGTTGCTGCTGACACGTCCTACCTAACTCGGACTACTTTTCAGTGTTTTTTCTTCTAGCAAAGAGTAGATTACGGAGGGCTATCTCATTTAAGCCTGAAGGGTTGCACTAAACCCATAAGCTTTTCCATAATTTTATCTCGATTTTTTCTAATTCTTGTAACCAGTACCGTTTAACAGGCATTTTTACCGGTCTTTTTTTTACGCCTTTAAGCGTTTTTATTGCAGCTGGTGATATCTCCACTGTAGTCAAAGTTTTTATAGAGCTTTTAAATGGATTAATATACTGAGATTGCTTTTGTAGGTGGTGGAGTGCAAGCAGGCACACAGATGCACATGATGAGTGGTGTAGCAACAACAGTACCACCACAGACTCATCCGATGTCACAAGTTCAACAGCAGCAGCAACCGGCACCACATCAACAACAGCAGCAGCAGCAGCCAGGCATGCGCATGAATATGGTTTGTTTCATTTGAATAACTTTTTTTTCTCAAAATTTACACAAATCTTACAAAATTTCTTAAAAATTACTAGGGAATTGATTGCTGTGGTCACTGTTGCCCATTGGCTGTCAGGCTTGGATCATTGGTTCGAATCTCCCTGTAACAAAACTAGTTCTTTTAGGATTTATTTAGTACAGCCTTGCCTATGTTTGTTATGAATTAGATTCTGCATTTAGCAAGTTCCTCAACAAATAGTAATAAAAATAGAAAGGCCATAGAAGACCGAACCAAAATTGGACGGTCCAAGTAGAGCCGCTGAAGAGGGTGAAATTGTCAAGTGATTTTTTTGCGACCGTTGGTAGGCCGAACCAAACCTTCTGAAATAATTCTAGGTAAGTGCTGGTATCACAGTTAGGCTGGTGGTTGCTATTGATCGAAGCGTGAGTTTTATCGTTTTGTCCGTTGTGAAGAGTGAGAGTTATGTCGAATTCTGATGATGCTCGAACTTTATTTTCCGTTTTGGTGTTTTTTAGCCATCACAAATGGGTACCATGCAAAGGCCAGCAGCACCAACAGGAATGGTAGCGGCACATATGCAACAGCCAATGAATCCCCCGCCATATGGGCGTGGTGGAGCACAAGGAGCCTACGGGATGTCCGGAGCAGCAGCACCCTCATCTACATATGGCGGCGCTCCCACTGGACAACCAATAATGATTGGACAGACAATGCAGCAAAACACACAACCGCAACCTGTGATGCAGCAAGGAGTACAAAATTTGCGTTGTAAGTTTTAAACTTAGCCACTTTTACCGAGGTGAAGCAGCGAGGTATAAATGTGAGAGGATAGGGGAGGGAGAGGTGAAGAGAGCTCCGTAAATGGATTTTATGAATGTCTTCGATCTGATGTTTTGTCGTGTTTGACGTTACGAACGTCAGAATCAAAATTGGAAGCCCCCCTCCCCTCTCCCCTGTTTCGGAGAGGCACTGTTAACTTGCAAGGAGTTGAAAGTTACGTCTATGTTGGCCGGGAAGTATGCATTCATATCCGCCAGTGACACGAAATTCAACAAAAAAGGCACAAATTTTAGTTAAAAAAAACTGTTCGGAAGCGCTAAATCATAAGTAGAAATGCCAGAAATTGTCACGCGTAAACGAGGGAAACGAAAATTGGAAAATGGGGGGGTGAATGGTGGGAATAAGCACTACTTTGAACAAAAGTAGCTCAGCATAAAGCCTTATTTCCTGCAGATCTGACGACTGTTTCACTCTGATATTAAGTGAATTCAGGAAATTCGTTTAAACAGCGCGAATTTTCACTTAATATTGAATTGCAGCAAAAGTGTACTCTGGGCAGCCGATCGATCGTGCAGCATTGCAGCAGGATCCGCAAGTGCAGGCGATTTTAGCAAGGCTAAGGAACGCCGAGCGGGCGGAGGAAAAAGAGCAGATCTATAGCGATCTGAAGAAAATGCCACATCTTTTTGCAGCTTTCATTAAAATGAAAAACAGTGAAAGAGCTGCAGATGTAAGTTTCAGATTTCTTTCGCTGCATTAACCTCTTCGAATTTCTTTTCCTTCAATTAAACAGATAGTCAACTAGTGATCCCTAGATAGTGCCACCTGGGCTGCCAGTTTGATGAGTTTAGTATCACAAAAGGCATTATTTCTAGCAATCACTGGAATCAGTGGCGAAGAAAAGTAGAACCGAAGATTATATAATGCACGTAAGTATCAATTTATTCACGTTATGTTTTTCATAATATTTGCCGATTTGCCTTGCCAGTCGATTGATTTTTCTTCCTTTTTATTTCTTTCCCTTCTCGTTCTCTGCTTTTGGCACTTCAATATATCATTATTTATTATATCTGCTTATTTAAATCGGCTTCTTTCCTGTGTGGCGAGTAAGAGTAAGAGGCTCCTACTTGCATCCGATGCACTGTTTGTATTTATAGCTAAGGGATGAAACACAGACTGCAAACTTAACTGATCCTTTCAAACATGTAAATTTCAGTCTACTTTACAATAAATTTTTTATAGACGACAATGTGAAG